TGTGCTATTAGATCCATTTTCTCCAAAGAAGACGCCGACTCCGGCGACGACTCAAAGGCGCCTCCGCCTGCCGCCGAAGAAAACCATGTTGTCCTCACCGGAGGAGGTGGAGAAGGAAGCAGCGGTATACCTAATGCTCTCCTATTTGCAAAGTTCGATTTTGAAGCCAATTCTCTGTCCGATCGACCTGTAAGATCACTTAGTAGGATTTTAGTTTTTTCGTCAGTGTGAAATTTGTCCAATTTTATATATTTGGTGTAAATTTGGTAAATTTGATAAACAAAAAAAGTTTAATTATTTGTTCAATTTAGAGGTTTTAAAGTAAGAAGTCTTTTTTGATCAAATTCTTATGAGTTTTTATTTTTTAATGTTTTACTATTGATAGGTTGCGAGATTGGCAACTGGAGAAGATTTACCTTATAGGATTGCTGTTCACCCAGGAGGGGAAGGTGTGATATGTTCATTGCCCAAAAGTTGCAGGTAAATTTTACTATCATTTTGCATGTATTGGCTGAAATCGTTCCAATGAAATTCACTGACTTGGCGATAATACATTGTAGCATGCTTATCCATGTTGGCCTTTGATCACTGATTCCTCAAACTTGCAAACTTGATATTCAGTTGTGGTGGAAAAGTCACTTTTGATGCAGCGGTGTAACAATGGAGTAAATTTTGTATTTAGTTTACTTTGTGGAATATGGAAGTTGTACTTCTTCTTGGTGCATTCAGATTCTTATTTATAACTTTCAAATGATTGAATTATTATTGTGCTTTTGAGAATTTGCTTAAAGATTTTTTTTTGTTCCTTTTAATATAGGTTGTATGAATGGGCTGCATTTGAGAAGGCAGATGACTCTACTTTAGATCTTAGATCGTCTGAGAGAGCTCTTGAGCATTTGGAAGATGTTGGTCAACAATTATCTCTGGCATTTAATAATGAGGGTACATTACTCGCCACTGGTGGTGAGGTAGTTAGCATTTTTTGGACTCTTTTTGTGGAAAATTAATGGAAACGGATGATGCATTAGGAGAAAGAAAGTGCATTATATGTCGTATTTCATTGACACATGCTTTTAATGATGCATAGTTCAATGCTTGTTTAGTATTTTATGCTTTTGGTAACCAACGGTTGTTCTTTTTACACCAATTTCCAGTAGAATGAAATTGCATCTTAGGATAAGTAATTGATCTTTTAGTTGTCTTTGATCATCTTTTAGGAAAATATTCAGTCTTCAGTGGTAAACGTTCTGGCAAGTTGGAGGTCCAGAATTTTCCTCGATTAGAAAGTCTGGATTGGCATTGGCAATACTTGTTCTATTCCTCCAAGATTAACTGACAATGCTTTGTCAGAAATGAAATTCTAGCAACTATTGAAGTACTAATCATGTTCTGGGCCCATAGCGATATGTCTCTTGTTTGATTGGGTATATCATGTATGGTTAGTCCTGTAAAGGAACATGATTTTCTTTTAAGCACAATGTACTCAAGTCTATTGAACTCTATTTCCTTCTGTACTCTCTGGCTTTTTAAAAAAAAAAAATGCTGAATGAGCTGTTTAGAGTAAGATAATGAGTTTGTTGAATTAGACAACTTGTGAAAGGACCGTACACTTTGTGCAGTAACAGAATTATTATTTTGCCTTTCTAATATCCAAATGGGATGCATTGCAGGATGGTAAATTACGCATTTTTCAGTGGCCAGCCATGGAACTTACACTCAACGAAGCTAACGCACATGCTTCTGTAAAGGACTTACATTTCAGGTCCGTATCAATTGTTGCACCTTAGTTTCACCCATGTGTAATGAAAGCTTGCTAAAAATTAATTTTTTGGCATGAGCACGGGAGAAGGCTTTCATTAATTCATCAAAAGAACCTTGACAGATGTCTTGGTTACTTGTATGCAGCCCGGATGGGAAGCTTCTGGTCTCTGTTGGAAGTGGACCTGCTAGGGTTTGGGATGTCACTAACTCAATTGCTATAGCCACTTTACAAAAGGAAAATGTAAGATTAATCTATCTTTGCATTATTTTTCTTTTATGTAATTAAATTGCTCTATCCAAAGGAAAAATTGGAAAAGGTTAAACAAATATCAGCTTAAGTTCTGCACGTGACTTCTTAATCATGTAAAGTACCATTTATAGTAAAAGCAAAGTTAACAAAATTGATTTCCCTAATAAATGTTTTAGTTGATTTGCCAAACATGCGACAAGCCTTCTTTATGGGCCCAAGGCCAAATTCGAAAATATATGAATCAGAATTTTAAGCCTCCTGATTTAAACTATTGTTCCTAGTCTGATTTGAAGAAGGAATGAAATATGTAAATGGGCCTTGTTGTACAACATGGTTATGATAGCCACTAGAATGAGTTGCTGGTAAACTGTGGCCCCCCAAAAAAATTAAAAATAATAAATATGACAGGTGTAGGCCAAAAATTGAGGACCTCCCCATGCATTGAGATGGATGCACATAATTCATTTTTCAAAAGGGGTAAAGATATATTATTTGACTTTTTGTTGTGTCAATTTCCTGTAGTTATGTGTTTGTTGTCATCATTACTGTGGAATTTTTTTTCTTCTTTTTTTTTTTGTACTCCCCATTCGTTGGTCCCCAATTGTAGGTGAAGTAGAACTATAGTCGGTGGATTATTTTCTTTAAGCTCTTTGACTGGGTGTTTAAAGTACGTGCTTTATTTAAAAGTGCGTTAGAGCAGAGAGGATGGACATCTTCACTTTTTAAAATACTGCATGTAGTGATCTGCAGCCGATGGAGCTAAAACTTTTGAGTTTTCATTGGCCTAGGACCCTGTTATACCATTTCTACTAGCGGACTCTGTTTTTGATGAGATCATTTCGTAACATTCCAGGATGAGCAGTTTTGCTTTTGCAAGTTTTCTCCAGGCAGAGATGGTAATCAATTTTTATACATCATAGCAATGAAAGGTATTCCTTGATTTTTGTAATTGTGCTTTTAATTTCAACAAGGGTTCCAACAAAGCAAATGGATATCCATAATGCATTTTATTGAATTCTCCAGATCGGGGTGCTTGTATTTTGAAGTGGAACACTACTACATGGAGGAAGATGAGCTCAAAACGCATTGTCCGGGATGCAGTTTCTGCTTTCGATGTTTCCATTGATGGCAAACTCCTAGCAGTGTAAGCACTCTGTATTTGTTTTTACTGCTTGCTTAACCATAAAAATTTGTTCCAAACTCAAGATATGGTGATTTGTTTGGATGAAAAGATTTGCAGCTCATCTTGTGGTTTTATCACCTGAAATATCAACTGTGTCTTCAAATATAATAACTCGCGAATTTCAATTTGAATGGGTAGATTTGCATCATCACTTCCTCCTCTTGTGATGATGGAAGGTAATAGTAGATGCTTAAGTATTACATTCTTATAATGATCAGTTTCCAGTCTACTCTTTAAGATGTCTGGCAATAAGAGTAACCTTTTCGCGATTAGGCAAGGCTTGCGATTACTTGCCCTTGATGCATAAGTTTACTTACTTCAGGACTTATTATGATGAAAGTAGTAGAAATTTAGTCATTTTCTTGTGTTCCTCCAAATGTAATTTCATTGTTTTACTTGTCTCTGACACAAATTCAATATTTAGAGGAACAATCGAAGGAAACATTTGGGTTCTGAGTTCCAACAGCATGAGTGTGCAAACTGTGGTAAAGAAGGCACATCTAGGCCTTGTAACAGCATTGAGGTTCTCAAAGGATTCAAGGTTGAATCTCTTATATATGTTATTCTTCTAGTGACATCCTTTACTCTTTTAACAAAAACAACTAATTCTTTTTTTTTTTTTGAACAGATATTTGCTCTCTGCATCCATGGATTCAAGTGCTAGGGTGACGCAAATAAAGGATGAGGAGAAAAATGGTATATATGCATGTATAAGTAACATTAGTGTGTGTGTGTATAGATGTATCCCCCTGTGTGTGTACTCATCTGTGCATAGTGGAGTGCCAAGTCATCCCATCAACAGAATCATATCAGTGCTAGTCTCACATGAGAGTTCTGCTACCTAACATTTAAATAAAATGCTGTAATCTTCATGATCAATGTCATGTCTCTATGTCTGAGTATGTGCTAGCATGATGACTTCTTGGACTTGATCCTCATTTTCTTGTTTTTCTTTTCCTGGCAGGTTTGAGGTTGTGGATCATTTTGTTAATGATATTGCTTGCAATAGCGGCATATTTTGTTAAAAACAAAGAATTGCTGCCCCAGCAACTTGATTTTGTGAAGAGATTATGACTGTTGGTGTACTAGAGAGTTGAAGTCTGTACATGGATGAAATTTTGTATGACTAGATTACTGTTGGAAGGTTATGCTTACAGAGAGGGTATGAGATGTTACATTACCTATGATAGTCCGCAACGGCTTACTGTTAAACAGCGGCTTGCAACGGCCCTCGGCGGCTGGGATCGACTTTTGAAAGAATGCCTTGTGGACAAATTCAACCACCCTAAATTGAAATTGTTATTACGAAGTACTTAGTATATCTTTTTGATGTGGTTTATAGTTTGCCATGTAATACTGCCTTCTTTTTGGAAAATAAAGTGAAGAATGATTATTTATTGATTCTATTTTTTTTTTCCTGGTTGAGAATTCTCCCTCTTGGACCCTGCCTTTTACTGTCCCAAGTTCCTCGAGTTATAATCCTTTTAAAGAGAACTTTAAATCCATAAAATCGCATGGATTATCCATCAATTTCAAATTCATCACAGCAGCTACTGCTGATGTCTGAGAACAACAATGAGTTTTCTATTCCAAAACTGAAGAAAAGGAACAAAAACTTCAGTCATTCAATCAAAATGAATGAAAACAGAGACTAAATTAAATGATCAGACGACTAAAATTCCAGCAACTTCATGCCCATCTCATATGCCAGAAAAGCTTCAACAGTTCCACCACATTTCACCTTATCAGGGGAAAGAACATTATCCTCCCACACTTGTTTCCCTTGGCTCCCACCAACTCATGGAATCAGGCTTCTTCCATGGAAGATCTCCATCCAAAACCTGATCGGGCAATCTCCATGACCGGGTACCCAGCAACTTCTTTTGGACTCGAAATCTTCAACTTCGGTTGATCCTCCAAGTTTTTGGCAACTGCCTCCATTCCAACACCAGCAACCACCTTTCGATTATACCACAAAAGATCCCTCGAGGCCTTTGGGATACTCTTTGCAGGTCCATGCCAGCGTATATGGTACACTAAGCAGTAGTTGCCAGATAGAGCTGCAAGAGCTCAAAAGGGACTTTTCTTTTTCTTGGAGTCCCGGTGGGATATATAGTTCCCATTGCGATAATGGTGCCCGGATTCAGCCACAAGCCCTATAAGTTTGGTTTTTGTTTGTAGAAAATACTTCTGATTTTGCTTACCCTATTACTTGACGATCAAGTGATCATCTTGCTCTGAACGTTGTACTGCTAGCATTGTTTCGACAGGAACGGTGTCGTGAATTCTAACTGTGGAGATGATTTTGTGGTCTCTGTTGATTTCAATCCTGATCTCAGTCTCCATGGCTTTCTTGCTTAATTGCAACAAATTGTGGCAAAACCAAGGCTATAAGCTTGACTGGATCATGTGGAAGTAAAAGAGGGAAATGACAGGTGCCGAACCTGTGCAATAATAATAAATAAAACCTAACTACCACCTAAGGCAGTCAATAATCAATTCGAGTACTGGAGCAGGGACTCTAGGTGTGTAATGGGTTACTTGATTCACCCTGTTCCCGAAGAGTTTGCTTAATTCGATATACCTGAATTAATTATTTAACTGAATTCACTACTAGTAGACAGTGGTAAACAGGGTCGTCTCCTCAGGGACTGGAGAGAAATTTATTTCTTTTCAAGTCAAGATTAACGGGGGGTTTTAGGATTAAATGCTAACTAAACAATTTAACTGCAGAAAAGTAATTAATTAAAAGAAATAATTAGGAGAGTTCTAGCCAAGGGTACACTTCAGAAATGGTTCATGCACTGATCATTGATGCAGAAATAATTCCAACATTTATTAATAGATCAGTTATAGTTTTTATACACGCGATAAACAACCAACCCTTCCTTAATTTATCGATAGTCAAGGTACGACCGTTAACTATTTCCCTAACCCAAAAATTACCCTAGGTACGACCGTAGGATTTAATTTCTGGTTTGCATTAATAATTAGAAAGGCCCAATCCTAATTAACAAACACGCTACGAGGGTTTGTTTAAATTAGGTCGTATATTTCCCTGACATAAACCCAATTACGCCAGTTGCTACTGGGATAGAGGTAACGAACAATTACGGATTCAGTTACCTCTATTTAGCAAAATAGCCTATATGAATAATCAATTATTGCGCACTAATCAATCATCCACACGAGCTATAACGGTTAAAAGCAGGAAACATATGAATACCAATAAATGGAGGAAGCAATTAAAATAAATTAGATCTCACAGAAATTGTTGAACCAAATTTTCAGTTGTGCCCCTTGACTAGAATTAGGAGGTTAGTTCTCCATTGAGAGTAACTCACGCAATTCCATTGAAGGAAATTGCGTCAATGTTTTACAATAGAGGAACTACTCTGCGGACCAGAGCCAAGCGGCTGCGTTCTCTTTTTTCTTATTCCCTCGCCAAGTCATAATCACGTGAGATCCCTAGCTCCGTAGTAATCCCGCGGGATCCGGCCTTTTTTTTCCTCTTCAAAGTCGGCTGGCCTTTTGTAGCCTTTTCTCCCTTCAATTTCGGTCAAAGCAATATTGGAAGACAATTGCAATGGTCCCCACTTTCCAAGGTCAACAACCGTGGCTTTTTCGGTTTTTCCTTAGTTTCCTAATGGAAATCTACCACCAAATAGAACTAGTTTCCTAAATAGCAAAATAAACCACAAAAGAAAGTATTTCAAGTTTCCTAATTCAACCATAAGACTAATAATTAGAATTCAAGTCTTCCAAATCTTCCTCTACAGCTGCCCAGAGTTTGAATCGAACTTGGAAATCGATCCCAAACGTGCCACTATCAGATTAATTGGAAGATTGCCCCTTTTTGTCACATTTTTCTCTTTTTCCTACAATTTAGCACCATTAACCAAATATAAGTATAATCCATCAATTAACGCAATATTTGATTGAAATCAAGGAAAGAATAATTATAGATTTAGCGACAAATAATGACCTATCAGGAAATGGAAGTGATTAGGAAACGTTTTCATGTAAATCGCAATCCTGCTTTGACTGATCTTGCGCCTAGTTTACAGAATGCTATGCTGGAAATTTGATCAATCAGTACTAGGATTCCATGCAAGTCATAGGAATGATGTGTTGAAATTTGATTAGTATCTTATGGATCAATTCGAGATACTCAAGCATTGATTATTGCAAAGGAAATTAGTCTCTCTCTCTCATTTGGATAACATAAAACTGCTCAAAACACAACTTAATTAAGCAAGAACTAAAAATTATAGAACTAACTTCTATGCTTTATCAAGTAAAATACCAAGTGCAAAACAAAAGAAGAGAACTAACAACACAGATAGGGAGAGACTTACAGTCAGGTTTTACCTCTCACTGTATCTAGGAGATAGATTATATCACTTCAATTATTGTATCAATCAACCAAGTGCAAAGAACACGAAAATCAAATTTCCCAAAAAAAAGAACGAAAAGAGCTGACAGACTAAAAAAAAAAACCTATTTTTTGAGTAGCTTCTTGCCCATCTCATAAGCCAGAAAAGCTTCAACTGTTCCATATTTGATCTTATCATCCGATAAACCTTCCACCAACTCATAGAACTAGGCTTCTTCCAATCTCCACCCAAAACCCTCTTCACAACAATAATAAAATTAATAATTAAGAAAATCTGCTAACAAGTAACAAATGTAATGAAATAATAATTTCAAAAATAATACCTCACAAAAAATTTCCACGCGATAATGATGAAAATTAGTGATGGTTTGACCTCTGCGACTGCGCCTGGCATTGCCACGGATTGCTATACTGTCTTCCATATCAATCACGGGAATCATATTCAACTCACAAAAATTGTTGACTTCATCTAAAATTATTTGCCATCCCTCTTCCCTAAAGTCTTGCAATTGAGATTTCATAGTATCAATCAAACTCATGGCTTGGACAATATTTTGATCCCTTTGTTGCAAAACAAGTGACAAGTCATTTGTGATTCCCAATAAATACTTCATCAGGTGCAATGCAAAAACAAACTCATAATCATTCATTCTATCAATCAAACCCCTGGCCATACCTCTATTGTCAGAAGTGGTGGCATCATCTTGTATATTTCCCAATATTCCAATCACCGAAGCCCACATAGAGGATAGACGAAGTAATGTTAGATAGTGTGATCCCCAACGAGTATCCCCTGGTCTTGCTAAACTAGTTTCTTGATTTTTGCCTTTTCCACTAATAATATCTCCACTGTCTAAAAGTGTAACAATCTTATCATGTTCTATTTGTCTTAATTGATCTCTCCTTTTACATGATACTCCAGTTAAATTGACAATCATAGAGACATAGACAAAGAATTCACTGACAATGATATTTCCCTTAGCAACAGCAACAATAACTAACTGGAGTTGGTGAGCAAAACAGTGAATATACATCGCATAGGGATTTTCTTGTAATATAAGGGCCTTCAAACCATTGAACTCACCTCGCATATTTGAAGCTCCATCATATCCTTGACCTCTCAATTTGGATAATGATAATCCGTGTTGCGCGAATAAAGAATCAATTGCATCTTTCAAACAAAGAGATGTGGTGTCAGACACATGTACAATTGCAAGGAAACGTTCAATCACACGCCCTTCTTTGTTCACATATCTCAAAACAACTCCCATTTGCTCTTTCACTGAACTGTCTCGAGACTCATCAACTATTAGGGAAAAATAATTGTCTCCAATATCATTGATTATAACACTTGTGATCTCTGAGGCACAAGCATGTGCCAGATCTTTTTGAATCATTGGAGAAGTTAGTTGATTATTTGCAGGAGCATTTTGATTTACAACCTCAAAAATCTCAGTATTTCGCTGGCTATACCACTCAAACAATTCAAGAAAATTGCCTCTATTTGAAGAACTAGTTGACTCATCATTTCCACGAAAAGCCAATCCTTGCTTCAAAAGAAAGCGGGTCACATCCAGAGCAGCAGTTAAACGGGTGCGATATGCAATATCTATTTCGCGCCCACAAGATCGTAGCACATTTGACACACTATGCCTTTGATCTTGAAAACTTTCAAACTGTATTCTAGCATCATTATGGCAACTATTCACAGCTCCAATATGTTTATTAAATCTTTCCATTGCCTTTTTCCAATTATTGAATATCGTTTTTGTAAAGGCATCCTCTGCATATCGACCTCCCTTATTTTGTGTTTTGAAAAGAAAGCACCAAAAGCAAAACGCCGCATCTTTCGATATGCTATACTCTAACCATACAAACTTTTGATACCAACTATCTTGGAAACTTCTATGTTGTTTACCAAATGATGTTTTTGGATACATATGGCCAATCGGTTGGCAAGGTCCCCTAGTCAAATACTCTCTTCGGACATGGTCTCGAAGAGAAATATCAAATTTCTCAACTGATTTTCGTAATCCCGGATCACTAACAATATCATTTAAATTCAATTCCACACAAGATTGATTTTGAACTGGTTCACTAATATTAGGCTCATTTGAAGATTCACCACTACGAACTCGTTTAGGTTTAAAGAATCTCTCCATTTTCTGTCACAATTAAATAATTGTGGTTAAATTCAATAAAATTATGCAATTCAATAATCAATTTATTTAAAATTCATATAAATAATTCTTTAATTTAATAATAAATTCATATTACTTATATTTCTCAATTTATAAAATTCATTATATAAAATTATCAAAAAGTTAAAATAAGGTACAACTAAATACCCATATAATCTCTAATTCAATCTCATAAAATTTTGAATTTATATTTACATTCAAAATTTCTAATTCACATAATTAATTCTTAAAATTTCAAATATAAAACTAACAAAATTTTAAAAACTAAATACAATCTAAAATCTATACAATTTCTAAACTAATTTCTAATTTAAATTTAATATCATTAAATTTTTTAATGTAATCTTTCAAATTCTTAAATTACATTAACATAAACTAAATAAAAATTAATCTTAATCAAATTAATATCAAGATACTCAAAATTCAAAAATAATTTAAACATATAATTAACAAAAATATAAAGATGAATATTGTAATTTAAACCAAAAAACTAACCTAAAAGATTTATGTGAATGGAATGGTGGAGAGTTGGAGTCTTGGAACCTTGAATTGAAGGCTTGAAGCAGGATGGTAGAATCTCAACTGAAGCTTCTTGGAGTTCTTGGAGCCTGGCGTCTTCTTCTTGGAGTTGGAGTCTTGTTTGCCCTTTGGCACTGGCGGCGTGCTTTTGCATCAGATGAAGCCCTTCATCTGATGTATTTTTTTTTTTCCCCTCATTATACAAAACGACGTCGTTCCACTAAAAGTGAAACGACGTCGTTTTGTATTTAGAGGGCAAAAAAAAAAATTTAAAATGAAATGGGTCATCTTCTTCCTCAGCAGTCAGCACGGCAGCGGCTTTCCAACTCTTCTTCACTTCCTCTGCAGCATTCATGGAGCCATGGAGGATGGTAGATCTGGATCACCGTGGGGGGCTGGGCTGGGCCGCCGGAATCCCCTATATATAGGGGGTTTTCCGGCGGCTTGGGGGGGGCTTAAGCCCCCACCAGCCCCCCCTTAAATCCGTGGCTGTCTGCAATCTACTGAAAGCCCATTACATTGCATGCATCTCTCTTATTCTTGAGTCTACGTACCAAAGGGCTGGTTACTTACGGGTTCCTGCATGGCCAAGGTGGTTTTGAATGGTGATTGTAGTGGGATGATTTTGTCATCTATAGTAACTATGCTGAAATTTTGGTTTTATTTTTTTTTTCCCTTTTTCGTATCTGTTGATCTCAATCTCTTTATTCATGGCTCCAAGCTAAGAGAAAATCATTAGGAACGAGAGAGATTTGACAAGTTATAGTCAGGAATTATATTAGTTATTGGTTATGGACGTGAGCTCAATTATGTTCCAAACTTTGTTCCATTAACCGCCACAAAGATTGAAATTGTTTTTTTTTTTTTCAAACAATGATTTTTTTCCCTTCCCATAAAAGAACCACATTATTTCCTTGTTCTCCTTCGCATGTCTACCCTCCCTTACAAAACCAGATTATGAGGGGCATTCGGATCCTCTCTACAATCATAGAAGTAATTGTAGAGTGCAGTTGATGCTAGTGATTTTAAGGTGCAGTTGATGCTGACAAATGAGATATTATAAAATTAAATGGAGAAGATTAAATACAATACATAAAATTTAGTGTCTAAAAATTTATTGGGTTGTCTGTTAAAAATCTTTAAAAAAAAAAAAAAAACTGGATTTACAGATACAGATAAGGTAGTTTGCTAAACCATAATGAACTCAGTACCATCTGAATCAGTAAGCCAAAGGCTGTATCGCAGTTGCTGCCTCTTCAAATAATTTTCGAAAGTAGCCGGAGATTTTAGGAGTCTGTCAGTCTCGAAGTAGTTACTGTCAGAAAAGGCACTCTCTGTAATCAATTCGACAAGAGACCTACTGACGTTTCCTTTGGTAGAGGGAATAACCTACAAAAGCGGACAATAGAAATGTCCACAGCACCTGCAATAACATGATATTGAATACGTTAACAAACGGAGAAGGGATTTCTCTCATTCTTAAGAAATGAAAGTTCACTCATGATATGAATCTACAGTGTTGATTGTATGCCATCGTTCAAGTCTTCTGATCCTTGACTGCATATCTTCTATTACGCCTTCTAATGGAGAAACTTCTCTGCTTGGCGAAGACTCAGAAACTGAATTGCAACCCTATTTCATCCAGTACGAACGCGTAACATTATTAATTGCAAAGGAATTGTTAACTGAACCAGATTTGCATGGCAATACACGTTAGCCAACTTTTAAATGAAGCACCTGGGACTGTATAAATTCCAGAAGTTCTTGCAGCTTTGCCGCCTGCTGAGAGTGTATCCCACTTGAACCTCCCGGTAATCTTTCCAGAATTATTTCAAGATAACTCTGAGAAGGAACATAGAAGGATGATCATTACTGCAGACAGTGTGATGCATATGTTCTATATAATTCATATGTATAATGTTATTGAATCACACTAAGACGAGAGGGAAGTTGAAGAAGCAAACCTTTGTGGTATATGAACCATCCAGCTTTAGGGTAGAACCAGCAGCAGCAACAATATCTCTATTGACACCTTTTACTTGTATATAAGGACTCGGGACATCTTGTAGATGATCAACCTCAATAAGGATCTAGATAACAAATTGTTACTTTCAAAAGTTGTTCCACACCAACAAACTCAAAGGTAGGAAAACATCAATCCAAGACAGAAACAGAGAATACAAAATTAGATAGCAGATAGTTAACGAAAGATACAAAATGAAATCAGCATCAAATTTCGTTCAGTTCCGCTCAAATTCCTTAGTTTCAAAATAATGAGATTTGGAATATAGTTGCTGAAATACTGAAGATGATAAGCATCGAAAACTCCATTAGAGCCTTTGCTCGTCATTAGCATTGGGAATGATCTCCCATACTGAGGTAAGTCAAGTTGCAGTACAGACCCCCCTCGATAGGAGCTACTCCTAGTTTCCTCCTGTGTTTTACTTCCCACACGTGTTGCCTCTAAAGTTTTGGATACCTCATAATTCCATCGCCCAAGTTTAATTCAGAATTCCTCATGCTTGTCAATTCACATTATTTGAGGACATAAATCAGCAAATTAAAACTGAAAATCTTTAGATATAATACAAAATTAAATCATAAGGGAACAAAGTCTATTAAAAGTTGACGGCTATTTCAGCCTGCCATACATTTTCCCAAGTACACACTATCACCCAAATTCTGGAAATTTCAGGCTAACCAAGTGATACAAATATCTATTACTGGGCAAAAGATTTCCCAGGTACAAACCGAATGCTATTGACAACTAACAACCACCATAAAAAGTTCCTAATTGCATGCGAACCATACCATGTTAATTCTTTATTTCTGTATTTAACCTCTATAGTTGGCAAATGACGAAAACCACCCACTAGTACAACCCAAGACTTCTACACTTAACAGCTCAAAGCACATTGACACATTCTAGTGGACCTTAAAGGGATTCTTCCCCTGTCAAGTAGGAACTTAAAAATGAAGTGCTTGCTCACAATCCAACCTTGAAAAATAATCCTGGTAATAACTTCCAACGTATTTCTCTACTAAATTTGCGCTAGTTTAAAAATGTCCTTCCTTTCAACATATAAGGATGTCAGAAGTTTTGCCCAAGCTGAGCTCACTAGATCATCAACCATAGTATTCATCGGATTTCTTTTTGTGTTGATCTAGCCATCAATTGTGAGTATTTTAAAATTCATTCACATCCCTTTCTAACCATTTAGTGTGTCAGGATACCTAGCCTGGCCTGACCAAATGGAGAGAAGCTCACACCAATTAGTACTAGGGATTAATATTCAAGAGCTGCATCACTTTCTGTGCAGAATAAAATTGAAGTATAGACTATGAATTTTGCTTGTCATGTCTCACAAGACAAAGAAAGCAATACCTCCTAGAAGTGACAATTAAGTCTTTATTCAGTAGGATAGGATGTAAACATCAATCTTATGATCAAGATATAGATCCTATGTAACAGCCCATGTCAAATAAAATTAATCTGCATGGCAGATAAGTAAAACCAGGGACACAAGGAAAAAAGTAACAGAAGATCTTCCATGCTTACTGAATATTTAATCGGAAACTTAAGTATTTTGAAATATTATCTAAACCTGAAATTAGGTTTGAGCTAAATAATGCTCTCAAGGGAGAGATATACCTTTCCATCTTGGTATATGTATGCAGTTGCTTCAATAAATGCAACAGCCTGATATCTGAATGAAATGGAATCAAACAGAAAATGACAATCAGAATAAACCAAATTTATGAGACAAGAAGTACAGAGAGCTATACTGACTGTTGATTTAAGGCCACAATTAAGTTGATCTTGAATTCTGTTATCATCACACAGATCTATACTAAGTTTAAACTCAAACTTAGAAAGTGGAGAAACAGCCAGGCTAGACCCCATGGAAGTGTTAATTTTATGCAGGCAACTACTTAGATCCAGTTGCCAAGATCACGTATGGTATTGAACTACAGAATGACAACCCATCATATATTGCAAATAAATGACAAAAAACATG